GACGGAATCGAGGTCACCAACGAAGTGTAAGAAGAAATCAGAAATGTGAAGAAACATCGCTGACATCACCGTCGACCTTTGTGGGTACGAAAACTCCAAGTGAAGCATAATGAGAAGTAGACATGTATTGTAGAGTGTGAGATTTTTTTCTTGTATTGTTTTATGAATATGATTCAATGGTAAAGAATAAAATTAATGGTTCGTAAAAGATCATTGGCAGAGAACAGTTAGCCTCTAAATAGTATTAGTTAACAGGAATTATGTATATTGAACGAAAACCAACGCCGAAGTTCAAAAGACGTCATCTGCGTCTTATTGTTTACATTGAAATGAAAATTTATTTTGGTGGAAGGTAAGAACAAAGATCATGAAGAAGAATAGAAACTCACTGATCATTTTTTACTTTGATAGAAACGGATTTTTTAGATCCACAATGGATCAGTATCTCGGCGTGAAACCGTGTAAACCATCATTTAGTATGTTGTATTTATGGATTAACATCACAGTTAAAAAGAAAGAAGAGAAAAGAGATTTAGCTGTGATTCACAGCTCACTGTTTAACATTGAAATTACTGACTCTTTCCTTCATGCTTATCATATTCTCAAGTGATATTGACAAAAGCAGGAAAAATTGCGTTCATGTAGGGAAAAAACATCAGCACACTTTGCATTCGATTTTTAGCCAAACGTTAATATGCATGACTAGATGTCCGAACACTGTTAGTTTTCAGAAAAAGCAAAGCCGTTTGGTAGATTTATCATCGAACTAGTTTTAAGAAATTCGACACGTGGACCCTCTGTAATGAAAAATCTCGCATAATACTTTCTGAAATCTTTGAAATTTTCTTCAGTTGATTATTTTACATTTGCAGCAAATTGCCCCTTTATCAATTGTACAAAGCTGAGACATATTTTATTGTCATCACAAAGTTTATCTGAAACACGAATCTACAAAAACTACTTTAGAAGTTGAATTAGTTGAACCTCGATCATCGTCGTTCCACATAAATAATTCCATTTTCATAATAAAGATCATATTTCACATTCACTGTCTGCTTCAGTTCCTGAGGTTTGTCATATTCGTCGGCATTAACCATACCCAGGTCGAACAATCCGGCACGGACACGGTTACCGCATTTCTCCATCGAATTCCTGGCATTTTCCGGGCGGATTTCGCGCAGAAATGGCGAGCTTCCTCAGGGATTTTGTTGGAAATTCATGGAATCCTGCTGCAGGAACCATCATCCTGGGTAATGCAACACGTGTTGACATGGTGGAATTCATGCTCCGTCTTTTCATTGAGAATTTCAACCCATTGCACAATATGATCCGTATCGGTCAACATCATTGCAATTGCTTCAATTCGAGGAAATAACACGTAGGATACCTTTGCGCAGGATTCGAGATTTTCTTGAACCGATTCGTTCCAGTGTGTGTTCCAACCGAACTAACACCTGTTCCAAGTAGAACTCGACGAGCTCTATCTGTTCCAAAAATAAAATTTTGGGAAAAATCACTCCTTCAACCCCGAAAATCCAAAAAATCGCAAAAAAACACCCAAAAAACATCAAAATCATCGAAAAACTCGGGCGGATTCGCCCTACAACCACCTATCTCGATTCTGACAACTGTTCCAGATCACGCTCGACGAGCTCTATCTGTTCCAATCATTAAAAATTGTATAGGTCCTTTCCTTACCCCTCAAAATCACAAAAAACCACTAAAAATACCCCAAAATCATAGGAAAACCCGGACGGATTCGTCTTACAACCACCTATGTCGATTTCGACAACTGTTCCAGATCAAACTCAACGAGCTCTATCTGTTCCAGTCCTTAAAAACTGTTCACATCCCTCCCTTACCACTCAAAATTGCAAAAAGCCACAAAAAAACGCCAAAATCATCGAAAAACCCGGGCGGATTCGCCGTACAACCACCTATCTCGATTTCGACAAGTGTTCCAGATCAAGCTCGACGAGCTCTATCTGTTCCAATCGTTCAAAAACTAACCATATGTCCCTTTGCCCCCGAAAATCCACAAAAACATGCAAAATCGGCCCAAAAACGCACTTTTTTCGAGACGGATTCGCATTCGGCATCCTTTCGAGTGAACCAACATTGGTTCCAGATCGAGCTCGACGAGCTCTATCGATTTCACACATCAGTTTTTAGTTTTGACCCATTTATGCCTGAGAAAAACACTAGTTATCACGAAACCTGTCAAATGTGCATTGACAAAAAAAATTCATTTGTTGATTCATCTCAACCAATGGGATATTTTCATAAATAAAATGTCGGGTCGCGGTAAGATACATTCACTCGACGCTACATACACTAAATCGCCATTACATCTAAATGCATTCGACCTTCTCTATGTAGAAAAAAAGTAAAAGATGGCGTTGGTTTTCAACTTAATATGATACATATATGAACATGATTAGAAAATTGAGAGTCGAAACTACTTTCTCGGAATATATTGAGATCTTTTCTGTTTCAGTTTTCTGGCATTTAGGATATTATCATAATACCATATATGTAGGTGAGTGTGATCAAAGTTGAAATATTGTGATAAGAAGAAAAGTCATTGTATTAATATAAATGGTGTTGATAACGCTGTACATCAATTATGTAAAGAATCAAGTAAAGGCAAAGAAAAAGCACTCTTTGTAATCAATGAAAATTTACAATTGTGAATAAAAAACGAAGAACGAAAAATGAACACAGTATCTTTGCAAAATGAAAGCATCGAATCATTTTCGTTGAAAAGCCAATGAACGAATAGTTCCATTCACCAGTTTCTAAATCAAAATAAATACCTAATTGTTTATTTTGAACATGACAATAAAATCTCACCTGTGTGTTTTTGTCTATTAATTGAATTGTCACCGGCTGATTGAGTACAAATTTGTCAGGTCTTACTGTTGTTGGCTAAAAAGAACAAAGAAATCCAATCATATTCATGACTTAAATCATTTACCTGATGTAACGGTGAAACTGGTCGTGGTGGAGAACTTCTATCATCGTTGTTGACACACAATTCCTAAATGTGATATATCCTAATGAGTACTTGTGACATGCATCTACCCTTTCACCAACGAAATGATATACCCCTCGTCAGTATATGTGATACCCATCTACCTTTTCATGAACGAAGTGGTGTACCCTGATGAGTATTTGCGACATGCATCTATCCATTCATCTACCGATTCATATATCCGAAAGTGTATATGTATGGCTCATATACCTGGTGATCTACACTTTCATCAATCCTTTTTAGGATTAATGATGCTCAACAATCATCTTATATACGGTTTTCAGAAAAATGTATTCGTATTTATTATTGCTAAATACCTTTCAACTTTGATTCTTTCGCACCTTTACTCAATGGTACTTTTGATTATTAAATGGTTGCAATGGGTTTTTGAAAATGCAACGTATAACAATCCCTTTAAGGGTTTCTTACTGTCATAAACCCCGGAATAAACCCTCCTATACTGTGTCATTGTGCATTCATAAACCCTGCCATATTCGCTTTTTAGACCATATCCTACACAGTTTATGAGAACGTCATAAACGGCTAAAAAGGGTTTGTTATACGTTGCACTTTCAAAAACGATTTAAAGGTTGATTATTCTACGCTTTTTTTTACAGTGTAACTTGAAAAACATTGGCCCATTGCCTATAAGCTTTTGTTGAGGGCTCACACAACATCGTTCTTTGATTTTCGTGAAGGATATCAGTTTCTTCTCTGTACTTGAATCAACAGTTGAAGAATATTGTTTGTTAAATTCCCAAAAAAATAACCAACGCTAGGAACTGTATGATCGGTAAGAATTGCATGTGCAAGCGTAATCGTATCATTTGCATCAGTTCCGTCTTTGAAAGCCATGCCGTAAATGTAATCTCTTCAACAAAGAGACTTATCGTTTCTACGTTGAAACGATTATACATACATTGACTCACGAGATAAGAGCACTCGAGACGGCTCCTAATCAATCACCAGAAAACATCAACTACCAGTCTATACTTGTCGTTTAAAGCTACCTTTCCAAGTTTATTTTGAAACGCGAACGTTTCTGATATCATTCACCACTAGCATAATTTTGTACAAAAGACCGATCAAAATTCTTGATTTCAGCATGTAACCATTGCTCACCGTTTATCAAATCAATAAACAGTCAATTTCTTACATTATTTTCATGAACTCATCGTTTCAAAAAGTGCAGTGTTCTCATGAAAACAATCTCAATCTTAACGCTTTTTCTACCCATCTAGGGGTGGCACTTTAACTTTACTTTCAAAATTAAAGTGAAAGTAAAATACTTTAACTTTAAATTCAAAGTTGAAGTATTTTACTTTATTACTTTAACTTTAATTAAAGTACAGTGACAAATCGAAAATATTTTTTAGCTTGCTCTGTTTAATTTTATGTGGTTTTTGACAAGAATTTTCAACTTTCAACTTTAACTTTAATAAAGTTCAAAGTTTCTTTAACTTTAATTAAAGAAATTTTAAAGTTGTAATTATTATCCAAAACCACATCAAATTAAACAGGGCGGGCTAAAAATATTTTCGATTTTTTATTGTACTTTAATTAAAGTTAAAGTAATAAAGTAAAATACTTCAACTTTGAATTTAAAGTTAAAGTAATAAAGTAAAATACTTTAACTTTAAATTTAAAGTTAAAGTAAAAACTTTAAACTTTAAGCACTTTATAAAGTAAAGTTAAAGTTAAAGTGCCACCCCTATTCTATATGTTATATGAAAAGTGTGCAATGCATATGCTGATTCTTTCGTTTCCAGCTAAATCGTTTTCTCTTTTCCAAATGCAATATTGAATCGAGTCAATGTGTTTGCTGATTCTTTCACCACTAGCCAAGTCGCAAGCGCATTCTTGTATTCAATACGAGAACGAATAAATCTATCCGTCGATTAAACCGAAATCGTCCAAAACACTATATTTTCTTTCCATTCTCCTTTCTTTCCTTTAACTTCTCTTTTTTGATGCATCACAAACGCACACCACTACCATACACAAACATATATCTTTTTCTCTATGTTTACTTTCTCATTTCTTCCTTTAGGACAAAACACAAAAGTCATGGGCCCTTTCTTGCATTTCTTTTCACGTGTCCAGCTTTCGTGTGACAGCTAAACGTTGTTTTTTCGTCTATGTAGTAACGTTACACGAAATAAAGCATTGTTACCAAAAACAATTTTATCAAAGAAAAACTGTGGAACACGAAAAAAAGTCAACAAAACTGTACTTTTTGACAAAAATAATGCAGATGTATATTTTTGCCAGTTTTCATTGGAAATCCTATTTCTAAGTAAAATCAATCCTCTAAATATTCCACTTTTCCTAAATATACGCAAGCGTAGGCCAGAGCGTGGGTTGAAGCTGCTAGTATATGATGTACTTTTTCCGACTAAATATGTCAAACGTTGCTCTATATACATACGTTTGAGAAGGAAGCACGGTTGAACGCATCAAGTGTGCCATTTCACGCGTGTTCATGCTATATCATGCGCAATTCATATAAAAGCTTGCTAGTCAGGGGCACAAATTGCCAATATTCAATTAGTGAAATTAAGTATTTGATTGTTAGATTAACTATATTGATTCAATCAACGTGAAGCTAGTACCAGAAAACGAAAAATTATGTAAAGCGTTGTGTTCAAATGAGTTCCTGCCCATAGAAATAAGCTCATTAGACGCAAAATTTGATTCTGCATCGAATGGTGATATTTTTACTGACGGGAAAACGATTGGGAAAATTTTACATAGATCTTCCTATACGTTATGTATAAAAGGAAAAATCCAGATGAAATTTTCCCAATCGTCGTCTGATGCTAACTTCACGCCGATATTGATTCATCATACCCAATTTATGTTGACACCAGTGAACTGTGGTGCGTCATTGAAACAGTCAGAAATATATTGTGGCATGATTGTTGACCTCTTGACACGGAATGTCGTTAGAGGTTTTATGCACAGTATATATAGCTATAAGAAGAACGAGAACAGAAGAGATGACGACATCATCATGAGATAGAAATCAGTTGAGGGTTAAGCGAATCACTTCAATGAACTCTATTTATATTTAGATATATAACAAACTACAAAAATCGACGAAGCCAGCCGGTATATGTTGAGAGAGAAAACCTACTTTTTCTAAAATTATGGAATAGTTTGAATCGGGCGTTAACTCATTTTGGAAATATAATTGTTATTGGTAACTCTGACAGAAAAAAAAGTATGAAGTTTTAATAATGGGAGTACTATTGAAAAAAGGTCTACACGCCAAAAAGAAAAAAAGTTGAAGCGCCGTTTGTTGCTCAATGTATTATTTGAATTGTATCTTACTTGCACTTTGTTTCATTAACTTGGAGTTTAGTTGAGAATGTTTGAAATAATACTCATACTATTTCTTCTTATTCAACAATCAGCTGCACAAGATATGCGGTCATTCTCGATCTATATAATAGCCAATTCACAATTTCAATGTGTTAACACAACCTGCTCACCATTCAACATTTCTACTACAGAAAGTGCTCTCAAATGTCGAATGAAATGTCTACATCAGATACAGTGTCAAGCAGCTAGTTTTCAGCAATCGCTTTCTACATGTCAATTATTTGCCAACATACTCGATCAGTATACAAGTACATTTGCTCAATTAAATACAATAGCTATGATTGTCAAGCCTGGAACGCGAATACCATCCGGTAGGTATAACTATACGGTAATTTTAGAAAAAATTCATTCATGCTTAAAGACGACAGATCCTACATTTTCAACGATTCACATCTTTGACAGATTTAAATGAGCCAAATTGTACAAAGAAACATGTTTCCTTGAAAGAATTTGATAATAGAAATGGTCAAATGGAAGCTTGAAGGATAAGTGAATCTTGAAGTTGCGTTTGTAAAACAGCTCGAATTTTATGGATATTCTGGCAAAAGTGAATTCGGTTTCTCTAGTTGAGATCAATCAATAGTAGTTTTCTACAAAGCATTTTATGATTATACGAATGAAACCAAAACTTAATTCATATGCATGTACCTTAACTCTCAATCAAAATTTCATTCAATATTTTTCTCCAATTTTTCTATTATTTCTACTAAAATAAGAACCAACCACAACATCATCATCAACAACCACAACAACATCATCCTCATCAACAACATCAACGACAACAACAACATCATCATCATCATCATCATCAACAACAACAACAACAACAACAACATCGACAACAACGCTACTAGGTAAAGATTATTCCTTTATCCTTCGATTTTCTGAATGCCAGATTTGCAATGGGAGGAATGCCAAAACATAATCGTACATAAGTGTGTCACGAAGACGCGCATGATGGTCTCGACATAAAATTCCAAAAATGAGGGAACTGATGCCGGGGACAGAACTGGTTCCCACAATATGCATTATTGTGGAATAGAATGTTCTCTTGAGAATATGATTATCTAACACTTAGCTATAAAGAATAAGTTTTTTGATTGATTGTTTATAATATAGGTTGTGAAAGTGTTGGTAATACTTTGGTCACATTTGATGATTTAGCATCTGGCACAGTCATACCTAATAGTTATAACAATATTAATTGGAACAATGCATATGCTTTCATCAACTCTTATGCCGTAAGTGGATATCCTACAGGTACTGTCAGTCAAAACTGTACATCGTTGAATGGTGGTGGCACGTCAATGACGATGACATGCGTTGGTAGCACACTTTTTACTTTATATTCTGCAGCATTTACTGCAGCATGGAACGATAATTTACAATTGAACGTTGTTGGATATCGATCGGGTTCAATTATTGCGAATAGTACTTATATACTTCAAGTGTTTTCACTATCCAATATAGCATTCACTGGATTTTCGAATTTAGACACAGCGATATTTTCAACATCAGGTGGAACATTGAATCCAACTGTTTCTAGCAGTGGTTTACATTATTCAATGGACAATCTATGCATCAGTGTTGTATGAATTTCAAAAGTATTAAAAGAGCAGCTTATTGTGTGCCAACATTGACACTATTACTGTTTCGCTACGTTATTCCTATATTTGTTCCTTCTTATACCTCACATCCGATCCTTTTCTGTCCTTTGTGTACGTTTCATCTTTCGGAAGAGCATACACTCCTATGTACGTTTCTATGGAATATTCTTTTGAAATAGGACATCATTTTGCGTATTCCTATTCTTTGTGATTAGACACCCTTCAACAGGTTTGTCCTGTCCTTCTTTCATTATATTCTCATATCTTCTTATACTTTTGTTTCACTATACATATATCTTTCGTTCGAGTGGTATAAATACTCCCGCCAAATAGGTTGAGATGAGATTTCGATATCACTTAAATAAAGATACACCACACGGTTGGTCTTCAGGTTTAACTATGTCTCGGTTCATCTCTCTTGATCAATGCCGGCAACACAACATTGGCTCCGCCATCACCATCATCATCTTCACCACACATTTTTCGTTAAATATTGCATTTTTTCATTCGAGTTCTACTAAATTATTCATCAGTGAAATTATAAGAAATCGAAGTGTTCACTTAACCCTTAAAAGCCGGAGGGAGTTCCTGTGAACTAATCGATTAAAAAATCGCACAAATAGACATTTTGGACCTTCAACATGCACATTCTGTAGTTGAAATTACAGGATGAGAGCAAAACATATTTTCAGTCAGAGGAGCTGGGTGAAATATGATCTTGACATTTTTTTGTTCCTACGAGTCTCTATTATCGTTTGGAACCATTGTAAGTTCATTCTGATGCTATTTTAAGATATCTTCAATTATCTATTCAGTGAAAAATTCAAAATAACCTTGCCAATTATGCTCAAAAGTGCCCCCAAAATAGCGAGTTTTTGTAACGTTCTCACATTTTATTGCCATAGTTAAAGGCGTGGAAAGTTGTTTTATTTTAAAGTTTAGGACTATTACTAATAATTTCACTCAAAATTCGAATTGTGTACATGAATAGATCGGAGAAAATTAGGAATATCCATGTAATCGTCTGTTCTAAAAAAATATAAATTCTCAACGCAATAGTTCGATGTTTGACAACTATCTTAGCATGTTTCTTTCTATTGTACTATTGCCTTGATTATCTTTGTTCGCGAAACTAGTAGGTTTCATGGATAAGATGTAATTTCTTCGTTCAACAGCTATAAGCACAATGTCCCTTGGAAGGGACATCTAGCTTTTAAGGGTTAAGCTTTGTTTTCTTTGCCTGAGATTCTTGAACTTCGTGTTCAGTTGTAACTTGATGATGAATACCTGTTCTTGTTGTTCATCATTAGCAGCTGTTGAGATTATGTCGGCTATTTCACGTGAAAAAGAGGATCTGTCGTTTTAAGTCGAGTTGCAGAAGTTGACTTTCAATTCTTTACGTAGCATGAAGCAAAACACGATCGAACAATACCGCGTGTTTTTAACTCGTTAAATTATAATATATGTATAGCGTTTTATCCATTCACCGCGCTAGATATACTATTATTGTCATCAAGGGGGAACGGCAGACGTAGCATACCTTTGGGCAGGATTCGAGATTTTCTTGAACCGATTCGTTTCAGTGTGTGTTTCAACCGAACTAACACCTGTTCCAAGTAGAACTCGACGAGCTCTATCTGTTCCAAAAATAAAATTTTGGGAAAAGTCACTCTTTCAACCTCAAAAATCCAAAAAATCGCAAAAAAACATCAAAATTTTAGAAAAGCCCGGGCGGATTCGTCTTACAACCATCTATCTCGATTCTGACAACTGTTCCAGATCACGCTCGACGAGCTCTATCTGTTCCAATCATTAAAAATTGTATAGGTCCTTCCCTTACCCCTCAAAATCACAAAAAAACACTAAAAATACCCCAAAATCATAGGAAAACCCGGACGGATTCGTCTTACAACCACCTATGTCGATTTCGACAACTGTTCCAGATCAAACTCAACGAGCTCTATCTGTTCCAGTCNTGGATTGCGACAAGTGTTCCAGATCAAGCTCGACGCGCTCTATCTGTTCCAATCATTAAAAACCAATCGTATGTCCCTTTGCCTCCGAAAATCGAGAAAAACATGCAAAATCGGGCCAAAAACGCACTTTTTTCGAGACGGATTCGCATTCGGCATCATTTCGAGTGAACCAACATTGGTTCCAGGTCGAGCTCGATGAGCTCTATCGATTTCACACCTCAGTTTTTAGTTTTGACCCATTTATGCCTGAGAAAAACACTAATTATCACGAAACCTGTCAAATATGCATTGACAAAAAAATTCATTCGTTGATTCATCTGAACCAATGGGATCTTTTCATCAATAAAATGTCGTCATCTTCACTCAATTTCTTTTTATCCTGGTATTTATCTGAAAAAAATCGTTTTTCTCGAAAAATGAAATATTATTTATTTATCTACAATATTTTATCTGATACAAAGAAATTGAACCAGTTTGGTGGTATAGATGGCGCTGTCTGTCAACTTGGTTGAATGTATAGAATGTGAATGATCTAAACAAAATATTCTATTGGTTGAGTGATAGGGTCCAATCTGTTGAAAAAAAACGATTATTTTTTCGAAATTGATTTCTTTTTCTGAATTCATTTTCAGAATCGATGGTGTTGATCTTTAGCGTTAGAAAATAATTTCGTCAATTTTTTTCGATAAAATGAGATGAAGAAATTTTGTGAACAGATTTTCTTGAAAATTAATTGTTAGAATGATAGGAATTGATCAATATGATTAATGCGAAGCAGGAAGAATGTTGGCTTCGAAAATTTGAATAAAAACGAACAATTGGATATTTGAAAACGTGTTTTTTTATTCCGATATGAATGTTCGTGATTGTGAAGATTTCAAGTGGATAATAGAAAAAAATAAATACCAAAAGCTTTTGATTTACGTTATGATAATGTCTGTGGATAGAAATTTATTTTGTTCGATTAAAAAGTTTGTTATACGGACTACGGTAGCGAATTCTACTTTGTGAAGATGGCTAGAAAAAGCGTTAAGATTGATATTGTTTTCATCCGAACGCTGCACTTTTTCAAACGATGAGTTCATGGAAATAATGTAAGAAATTGACTGTTTATTGATTTGATAAACAGTGAGCAATGGTTACATGCTGAAATCAAGAATTTTGATCGATCTTTTCTACGAAATTATGCTAGTGGTGATTGATATCAGAAACGATCGCGTTTCAAAATAAACTTGGAAAGATAGCTTTAAACGACAAGTATAGATTGGTAGTTGATGTTTTCTGGTGATTGATTAGGAGTCGTCTCGAGTGCTCTTATCTCGTGAGTCAATGTATGTATAATCATTTCAACGTAGAAACGATAAGTCTTTTCGTTGAAGAGATGTGTAAATATTTAACAATCAACTTCACTCCGTTCAACGTGTTATATGTGTAATGAAGATGCTACCTGATCTGTTTTTGTTTCAAGAGATGTTGATATATAAGTTACTGTTTATCGTGTGAATAAATCTCATCAATGGTGTTTGTTGATTGATAAGACATAAAAGAATAGTCTTCACAATGTAGATTTTGTTTAACTATCAAGTGTTGTTTTTCTTGATAATACAATATTTTTACTCAGGATGTTTCTTTTCACATTGATAATGCGAAAAGTATAAAATATAGGTTTGATTTCTGAATCGAATCCATTCATTCTAAAATCACTTCGTTTGAAATTATATTTACTTCGGAAGTCTTTACTCTTTAATAAAGTCTTCAGGATACTTTCTTGCTATATTGATCGAATATAACCAATGCCAAAGTCAAAAAACAAGCCGAATAACATCTGGTCATTAATTTCCGAACAACAGTTAATTGTCGCAATATCTTCTCTCGGAAATCGTCTGAATCAACTTAAAGACGAAACATGGCGACTAACAGCTGATTCATCACCCCAAGATCTTTATGGGGTGAAATTATAGGAAAATTAGAAATCGAGCATACTGAAAAAATACGTCATGTTTTATACAATCTCTGGCATTTCGATCGTCGTCGAATACGTACGCGGGTGGAAAAGAAGATGAAGGAAAAAATTACTTGTGGTAACACTAATGAAAATGACTGTCATATCAATGAGACAAATCAGACGTCTTCCATAAATATGGCAGATCCGCAATTGGTTTCTGTTCCATCAATACCTATACCTGAACGACCAAATACACGTAATAATGGGAATCAACAAAACAATGACCACAGTGTACCAGTACAGAAAGTGTCGTTCATGTTAACTCCAACTGAATGGAAGGCGGCGTATAGTCAATCAAAAAAGAAAATGAATCCAGGTTGGACCAACATACTTTATAAAAAGATTACGGCATCAAGGATTGTTTGTGCCATAAACTTCGGTAGAGGACATTTACCAGAAGGTACAAGAAAAAAAAAATTCTAAACCATTCTGGTGTCGTGGTAATTGTAAGGGCAGTGAATGTACTAGATCGTATTATATAACTCTTGAGAACAAACCAGATATTTATACATCAGCATTATTTATGATGGAAATCTCAGGTATTGAAAAACATAATCCTGAAACTGAAACAATGACTCGTCAGCTGCGTGGAGTTGAACGGTTAAATGTCGGTAAGAAATCAGGAAATGTTTTCAAAGCTGATATCTTAATAAATATTTGCATTTAGGAGAGCGAATAAATAATATGGGACCTTTAGCAGTATTTCGTGAACGTGTCGAAGCTGCTGATGAAAACTAACTTGAAGCTGGTAATTTTACAGGATGCGAAACGATTGAAACAATGAAAAAAAAACAGGAGCTGATTATCACAAGAAAATGAGATTCGACGAAAATATATTCACAGATTGTCGAATTGTCGCTTATTCATACCGTGAAGCAGATGTAACATCTGAAGAGATCAAAGGTAAGTTGGCCAGATATTTGGTAAAAGCATTCAATGAACTAATTTTAACATTTTCCTAAGGGTACGTTCATGTGGTTGGTGAATTGCCATTCCGTGCACATTTATTTTCTGAATTACAAATTCAAAGATATATAAAATATTGCACAAAAGAAAAATATTCCTTCGTTCATGTAGATGCCACCGGCGGTGTCTTGATAAAAATGCGTGAACAAAATGATGTTTACATTTACGGCATGGTTTTCAAAGATGGAACTGATGCAAATGATACGATTACACTTGCACATGCAATTCTTACCGATCATACAGTTCCTAGCATTGGTTATTTTTTTTATTTGATGCGTTATAGCGTTTTCCGTGAAACTGATTTTTACAAGATTTTCAAACAGGATTAAATGATCTTTAGGTATACCTTCCATATAGGGCGGTATAAGCGGTATAGGCGGTATTTTATCTACTTAGCTTCCCAGTGTTTGACAAAGAAAATAATTCGATTGTACACTGACGAATACTTACCGAACAAAAAGCTGTCATCACCCTCCGCAGCACCCTCAATGAGATAATAGTATGTTATACCGCTTATACCGCCTCATACTGAAATTCAATTTCCAGGAATTTCCTAGGCATCCGAAATGCATTGGATTTCCCGGCTAACGCTATAATGCATCATATGGTTAATTTGATTTNTCGATTGTGCACTGACGAATACTTACCGAACAAAAAAGCTGTCATCACCCTCCGCAGCACCCTCAATGAGATAATAGTATGTTATACCGCTTATACCGCCTCATACTGAAATTCAATTTCCAGGAATTTCCTGGGCATCCGAAATGCATTGGATTTCCCGGCTAACGCTATAATGCATCATATGGTTAATTTGATTTCTTTAATGGATTTTTCACTTTTCATACTTTCTGTAAGATAAAATACTTAGGGTATAGCAACAGTTCTGATAGTGGCAGTTAGAAATCGTTTAACAGGTTTAAACAGTTTTTCTTATATATACGATGATAGAGGAATAAAAGCTGTATCGTTCTATGCTTTCACTGTTCAGAGTTGAGAGGTGTTCACTAAGAACGTAGGACATCTTCGTGCAGAATTCGACCTTTTCTCGAGCGGATTGGTTTCAGTGTATGTTCTAACCGAACTAACAATGGTTGCAAGTACAGCTTGATCTGTTATATCGGTTCTAAAAATGAAATTTTGGAAAAGTGCCTTCTTCACCGTAAAAACCTCAAAATTGTAGAAAAACCCGGGCGCATTCGTCTAACAACCACCTGGCTCGATTTCAACACGGGCTCCAGATCGAACCCGACGAGCTCTATTGGTTCCAATCATAAAAGTTTTTATCCACACCCTCACCCACACCCTCAAGATCAACCGATATAAGACTAGCCATCGAATAAGGACAAAAACAAAAGAGACTTAGTAAAACTTATTCATATACTGTTTTTCGAAGAGGATATATCATAGATAAGATCTTATTGTTAAAATTACAAATAAAATTTCTTCGGTTAAACTGATTAAAGTAAAGCAGTTTAAACTACTATTAAAAAAAACAAGTTCACAGTATTCTTCGAGTATCAAACCGAATATTTTTAGCTTAAAAATTCTGCTATTTCTCTATAAACTTGAAGACACTACGCTTAATCAACTGATTCACATTTGTGCTTCTGTAATAAGGTACTCAGATTTGATCATATACTGATTCGCTGCAATATAATAGAAGTAAATTACTAAATCCATCGATTCTTTGTTATGTTTAGAATGCACTTCAAAACATTGTTTTTGTGGTTTCGTACGCAACTACTGAATTACAATGTTTTTTATTCCTGATGAAGATGAATATGATAAAATTAATGATGAACCAAATCATATAACTCAAAGTAACAAACAAGTAATGCTCGTCTAGCGACTCGCTCAGTTCTTTCTCGTAGAAATCGTGCTTTCAAATATTACACTTTAAAGCTATTATTGTATGTATTAATTTATTTTTAGTGTAGATTAGATATTTATACCAAATATCAAATCGAGAATCAGATATTCTAAATAATTATCAATGCAATTAAGTAGATTATGAGTTATTATATGAAAAAGCTTTCAGCGCAATCCCTAACGGGATTAAAAGTGTGGAACACGATCCAACTAGAGAAACTTTCAACACATAGAATGGTCAATTTACTTCCCATTGTGCATTCCTATTTATTTAAACTTAAGCTGTTGAAAATAACATATCATTCTCAATAGTGATGTCCGCTGCTTTTTAAAAGATCTTCGTTTCATCGGTCACAATACGTGATGCTTCTTATTGCGCTTCCATTAACCTATCACGATCTGTGCTGATATCTACGTGGGTCGACGTAACGAAGTTGAGAGTCTCCCTGTCTGTAACGTCTGTGATGGGATTTTCCCGGCGTCTGTAACGTCTGTGGGGGGGGGGGGGGGGNCGGAACTTGGAGATCGACTACGATTTTGTTCATTGTGAGTCCTTGCGCTTTGTATGTAGTTATAGCGAAGGCAGGTACAATTGGTAGTTGTGTTCTTGTAACTTGAATGACTTGTGGAATTTTTCTCCCACTTTGCACTCGATCGAGTAAGTGTCCGAAGAGTTGCTTTATAGGAACAGTGAATCGCTTTTTGATTAATGAAATAGGAATTAGTTTAGGGCAAAGACCATCAAGATTTGTTTCTACCTGTGATGTATTAATTTCCACAATTGCATATAATGGTTTTCGTATGTATATTGTATTGGAGGAAAATACATCGCTCTTTATCTTAAAATCCCCTGGCCCCTCCTGATCATCGTATACGAGCTCTCGAAAAATTCCTTGTGTACCATTCGAAAGCCCTAGTTCACACGCAATGTTATCGGTGAGAAGTACAAGCATGTTGGGTACGAATGTAAAAGATCGGGTAGAAGCTCGGTCTTGCTATCTGATAGATGGAGGAGACCTTCGTATATTACGCCACCTTCGGAAATTTTTGAAAGAATTTTATCATGTGCGACAACAACGACTAGTGGGATACCGGCTTCTTTCGCTTTATCGAGGGCGGCTCGATTGTTTATTTCAGTTCGTAGCTGATTACGAAAGACGAGAATAGGTGCATCACACCAAGGTCTCTCTTTTAGTGATTGAACAGCTTGTCCTGGATCGCGTGTAGTTTCTCCCAAACGGAGATGGTTGAGTAAATTCAAATATTTCTGATCTTCTGTTCTCATCTGCTGGGTTAATTTCGTGACTGTATTGATTTGTAGGACCAATGATCGTCCGACTCCATACTGAATATCAACTTCTGTCGATAAATGTGAAGACGAACCACGCTCGAGATTTGAATATAAAGGTTTGTCGAGAACTGGCATATATTGCATATAATCGTCGAGAAGAATAACATTAATACCACCAAAAGGTACTTCGGGTGGTGCTCGCTTTCCAACAGTGAGTAGCTCATCTAATCGAGCTAACAATCGAAGTCCAACCATCGAAATTTCGTCGATAATAAGATAGTCCACATATTTCCAATCGTTTTCAATATTTGATGAGCCTGGTTTCGTTGTCTTCTTTTGGCCTTTGGTACTACGTAAGTATCCTAAGAAAGAATGAATCGTATGACCTCCGATGAGTGAGGCCGACACTGCTGTAGGTCCAAGCTTTCGAAGTTTTTCTTTTCGTTGTGTTTCAACGAAATAGTAAGTGATTGCGTCGATGAGACGCGATTTGCCTGTTCCTCCAGGTCCTGGTACGCACATAATCAATTGTTGCTATTTTCCACCTGAAACAGGAAATGTTTTATAGAGAATTGACAAAAGATAATATTTTTCTTACCTATCTTTAGATGACTTTCTCCATCGGCATGTCTGTCGTAACAGATTCAATTCGATCACTCATTTGGTTTGGAGTTTCTGCAATACAGCTAGTGGTAGTAGTCGAGACGAGTTGATTAGAGGTATGATTTGCTGATAAAGGAGCATCCTCTACAATACTTTGTTGTCGTCTTCGAAGAGCATCTGATTTTATGGCAGCTTGCCATTCAGCATTTTGCTGCTCCGAAAGCCGAGTTTTGACAGAGAAATGTGGTAGAGAAGTGGATACTATGAATGGTTGATCACGTCCTAATCCGAAAAGCATTTTTACGTATGTAGAATTACCATCATCAAAAGGAGATACTTACTGGTACAATTCAAAAATCGTCCAACTCCATGAAGGAGGCGAAGTGCTTCATCTTGATAAAGTTGCTCTTTCTCAGAAAGATGACTGATACCAGATGTTGGATTATTATCTGCTAGGCTATCAAGGAGATCGAAATACGTTTCATTTTGATCTAAATCATCATCATCATCTTCGTCATTGTCGTCTACACGCATGTTTCGAGGAAAAAGACGAGGATCTATTTCGTCACTAGCTTGAACATTTGCAATAACTTGTTGTAAATGTGCATCACGATCTTTCTTGCATTCATGCAAGAGTTGAATATTTTCGATAATCTGTTTTGACTCTGTTGAAATACTTTCTTGCCGAGAGAAAAGTGCTTCGCACCAACTCTGATTGACAGCACAAAGATCTTTAACATTTCTCCATGGAATGAAGAGAGTAGCTACTGCTCGACTTTATCACTCCTGAGTTTCTTCCCTGTCTCTACGTGGAATCTGTAGCCCAATGAGTACAGGAACAACAGGGTTAAGACGCTTAATGATACCATGAGAATTTGCTTGTGGATGTTCGTTCATAAATATGTATCTCTCTTGGCGTGGACGACCTGGATTTAGCCGAATATCTTCAGTATTTGTGAATTGATGTTCGGTAATATTTCGATCGTTATCGGCGAATGGCTTACGATGAAAGAAGCTAACGAAGTCGTATAAACAAACTAACTCCAGTTCAGGGGAACGAAATTGATAGTCAGTTCGTAGATTGACGAGAACTACTTTCTGTGCATCACTTGATTGTTCAATCGAAAACTGTTTTTCTATCCCAGAGGCATCATATTCTTCTTCGCCCTCGACAAGGCCAATTACATCTGTAGTCGTCACTTGTGTAGTTGTAGAAGATGAAGCAAGAGAAGCTCTGCTTTGTTCAAGTTCGTTTTGAAGGTGGCGTTCGACAGCAATGAGAAATATATTAGCCAATTCATAACTGGTGTAATGATCGCCATAATCTATGGAATAAGTGCCTACTTGAACGCCAGAAAGTCCTTGCTGTGAAGCAAGAGAATTGTAGCAACGTAAGACGAGCTTTCTAGCTTCGTCGACAGAACTTTCAGTTATGTTGTTGTTATCGTTGGGTTGAACGGCCTTCCGCATAAGAGAAAATGTATCATGAAAGGATAGATTTGTCTTTGTAATATAGCCGGTACAATAATACACGAGTGCTTTTGTATCCGTGCCCGACCAAATAAATTTGATGTCCATATTGCAACGGCATGCACATATGATAAATTGATTGAAATTGTTGACCATCGGATGTGAACGACGCATTCGTGTCTCGCCTGATTCTGGATCAATGGTAGTCATTAGGAATATTTCTCGAGGCATACGCATTCTACATATTTTTAGCAAGGTATTCTTCGAATATTTGTAACAACTTGATATATGTCTGTGTGTATTCGATTCGCAGACTAGCAGTCGAATGTCTTCTTTCATTTTCTCTACAAAGTTCGTCCAAGATGGGTCAGAAGCTCGAAGTTATGATGCAAATAGCTTGTCGATTAAAATGTTTGCTAAATACAAACATTTTAACTTATATATTGGACAAATTGTCTCTTACCTGCTCCCATAGTATCAAAATTGTCTGTTGTCGTCAATATATGTGACATAATGATGTATAAATTATCTACAAAAAAAACAATAAACGTAATGTTCACATACTGGGTGTATCAATAGTTTTGCGACATTTTTTATTTCATTGATTTCCTGAGTTGAGAAAATGATAAAATCTGGATTTTTCTTTTAAATGATAGAGCAAGGAGAGTTGTACAAAAAACTCATAAAAGAACATTTATTCTCTGATTCGAACAATCTGCTCGTGGAAGTTTTTAAATGCCTATGCGGAACTCTGATGTCCCCGCACGATAAAAGTGCTAGTACATTTTTTAAAATTTTGTATGTATTTTAATATTGAAAAATGATATGTACCTAATTCGTCTTTTACGAGTTGCGCCATGCAAAGCTTTCTCAGACCTATAGCAAGAAATTGCAAATAACAGCTTTCAGTGGTCTATCCATTCTCAAAACCAGAAAGTCTACAATAGGTGGTCCTGTTTTTTTGCGATATTTTACTTTTATTTTCAATCTATCATAGTTTCTAAAAACGATAGGATATACATTTTATTTGTATAAGATGCGCCATGTAAGGAACTACAAAATAAGTCAAAACAAACTGATCGAAATTTATACATCTATGTTTTTTTTAAACACAAGATGGACAATTGACCTATATCGTCTCATTTATTATGAGTTTGTTAGTTTTCTATTTCTATCGACTCGAACGAATAATAATAAATCATTTTTTTNATGGCTTTCGTATGTATATTGTATTGATGGGGAATACATCACTCTTTATCTTAAAACCTCCTGGCTCCTCCTGATCCTCGTATACGAGCTCTCGAAAAATTCCTTGTGTACCATTCGAAAGTCCTAGTTCACACGCAATGTTATCGGTGAGAAGTACAGGCATGTTTGGTACCAAAGGCAAAAGGCCGGGAAGAAGTTCAGTCTTGTTGTCAGGTATATGGAGGAGACGTTCGTATATCACATCATCTTCGGAAATTTTTGAACGAATTTTATCATGTGCTACAACAACGACTAGTGGGATACCGGCTTCTTTGGCTTTGTCGAGGGCTGCTCGATTGTTTATTTCAGTTCGTAGCTGATTACGAAAGACGAGTATAGGTGCATCGCACCAAGGTTTCTCTCTTAATGATTGAACAGCTTGTCTTGGACCGATAATTCGTGTACATAGATAATCAAAATCATCGCGTGTGGTTTGTCCTAAACGAAGATGGTTGAGAAGAGTCAAGTATTTTTGATCTTCAGTTCTCATCTGCTGTGACAATTTCGTGACTGTATTGATTTGTAGGACCAATGATCGTCCAACTCCATACTGAATATCAGTTTCTGTCGATAAACGCGAAGACGAGCCACGCTCTAGATTTGAATATAGAGGTTTGTCGAGAACTGGCATATATTGTATATAATCGCCAAGAAGAATAATGTTAATACCACCAAAAGGTACCTCAGGTGGTGCTCGCTTTCCACTAGTGAGTAGCTCATTTAATTGAGCTAATAATCGAAGGCCAACCATAGAAATTTCGTCGATAATCAGATAATCCACATGTTTCCAATCGTTTTCAATATTCGATGAGCCTGGTTTTGACGTCTTCTTTTGGCGTTTAGTACTACGTAAGTATCCTAAGAAAGAATGAATTGTATGGCCTCCGATGAGTGAGGCTGATACTGCTGTGGGCCCAAGCTTTCGAAGTTTCTGCTTTCGTTGGGTTTCAACGAAATAATAAGTGATCGCCTCGATGAGACGAGATTTTCCTGTTCCTCCAGATCCTGGTACGCACATGATCAATTGCTGTTGTTTGTTGCCTGAAATAGGAACTATTTTATAGAGAAATGGCAAAAGATATTACTTCTCTTACCTATCTTTAGATGACTTTCTCCATCAGCATGTCTGCAGACGATGTAAAAAGCTCGTGCTTGTTCATCATTGAGTGTGAACATCTCACAAACTTGGCGACGAGTTGGAATCGTTGATGCATCCGTTGTAACAGATTGAATTCGATCACTCATTTGGTTTGGACTTCCTCCAACACAGCTAGTAGTAGTAGTCGAGACGAGTTGGTTAGAAGTATGATTTGGTGATAAAGGAGTATCCTCTACGATACTTTGTTGTCGTCTTCGAAGAGCATCAGATTTTATGGCAGCTTGCCATTCAGCATTTTGCTGTGCTGAATGCCGAGTTTTGACAGAAAAATGCGACAGAGAAGTGGATACCATAGACGGTTGATCACGTCCTAATCAGAAAAATATTTTTACATATGTAGAATTACCATCATCAAAAGCAGATACTTACTGGTACAATTGGCAAATCGCCCAACTCCATGAAGGGTGCGAAGTGCTTCATCTTGATAAAGTTGCTCTTTTTCAGGAAGATGACTGATACCAGACGTTGGATTATTATCTGCTAGGTTATCGAGTAGATTCAAATAATTTTCATTTTGATCTAAATCATCATCTTCGTCACTGTCGTCTATACGCATGTTTCGAGGAAAAAGACGAGGATCTATTTCGTCACTAGCTTGAACATTTGCAATAACTTGTTGTAAATGTGCATCACGATCTTTTTTGCACTCATGCAAGAGTTGAATATTTTCGATAATCTGTTTTGATTCTGTTGAAATACTTTCTTGCCGAAAGGAAAGTGCTTCGCGCCAACTCTGATTGGCAGCACAAAGATCTTTAGCACTTCTCCATGGAATAAAGAGAGTAGCTATTGCTCGACTATATCGTTCTTGAGTTTCTTCTCTGTCTCTACGAGGAATCTGTGGACCAAGAAGTACAGGGGTAACAGGGTTAAGACGTTTAATGATGCCATGAGAAATTGCTTGTGGATGTTCCCTCATAAATGTATATCTCTCTTGGCGTGGACGACCTGGATTTAGCCGAATATCTTCAGCATTTGTGAATTGTTGTTCGGTCATATTTCGATCCTTATCAGTGAATGGCTTACGATGAAAGAAGCTAACGAAGTCGTATAAACAAACTGACTCTAGTTCAGGGGAACGACATTGGTAGTCGATTCTCAGATTGACGAGAACTACTTTTTGAGTATCACTAGTTTGTTCAATTGAGAACTGTTCTTCTGTCGTAGAGGCATCATATTCTTCTTCATTCTCGATAAAGTTGATTGGATTATTATTCGTCGCATGTGTAGTTGTAGAAGCTGAAGCGAGAGAAGCTCTACTTTCTTCAAGCTCGTTTTGAAGGTGGCGTTCGACAGCAATGAGAAATATATTAGCAAATTCATAACTGGTGTAATGATCGCCGTAATCCAGTAGATAAGTAGCTACTTGAACGCCAGAAAGTTCTTGCTGTGAAGCAAGAGAATTGTAGCATCGTAAGACAAGCTTTCGAGCTTTGTCGACAGAACTTTCAGTTATGTTGTTGTTATCGTTTGGTTGAACGGCCTTCTGCATAAGAGAAAATGTATCATGGAAGGATAAATTTGTCTTTGTAATATAGTCGGTACAATAATACACGAGCGCTTTTGCATCCGTGCCCGACCAGATAAATTTGATGTCCATGTTACAACGGCATGCACATATGATAAATTGATTAAAGTTGTTGATCATCGGATGTGAACGACGCATTCGTATCTCGCCTGAGTCTGGATCAATTGTTGTTATTAGGAATATTTCCCGAGGCATACGCATTCTACATATTTTTAGCAAGGCATTCTTCGAGTATTTATAGCAAGTTGATGTGTGCCTGTGTGTATTCGCTTCGCAGACTAGCAGTCGAATGTCTTCTTTCATTTTCTCTACAAAGTTCGCCCAAGATGGATCAGGAGCTCGAAGTAATGATGCAAATAGCTTGTCGATTAAAATGTTTGCTAAATACAAAAATTTTAACTTATATATTGGACAAATTGTCTCTTACCTGCTCCAATAGTATCCACATTTTCTGTTGTCGTTAATCTATGTGACATAGTAATGTATGAATTATCTACAAAAAAAACAATAAATGTAATCTTGACATACACGTGTTTTAATATTGATTAATTCGCGAAGAAAAAACAAATAATAAAATGAAATAAATAGAGAACACGACAATAACTAATTTTCAATTAAATCTACTTTTGTCCGACTATATTTAATTCGATATTTTTAAAAAGAAACAAACATATGTTACAAATGGTCTAAATCTTCGCTAATAATGTCTTCGAGGTAGTCTTTAAGGCTATTACGAAATTGTTCATCTTTTATGTTTTCCCGAAGTCGAGCAGGCGAGTATTTATGATCAAGCCAAATGAGCATATGCAAATGTAATGAGCCACGTCCCTGGCTTTCTACTGTACCAAAGTATCCCTTGACAGGTCCTAAAACTGCTTCACCCGAAATCATAGTTTCGAGAATGGTTGTAATGAGCCGATTAAAAAACTTGGCTGTTGCTACAGGATGTGATGCAATAATTTCAGCCCTTTGATAAGTAGATGGGAGATTGTTTGGAATGATTGCATCTAAATCAAGATCAACTCCTGCAAAGTAGAGAGCTACACGACTGTTAATGTCCGCAGGATTGATGGTAAGAAAGATGCTTGGCAAGCCTTGGTTAAAAATTATACCATGAATTTGATTGCGCAGCATAGATCGAGATTGTGCTGAGCCCATTACTTTTCCTCCGACTACTTTCACTTGACTCAAAAGTGCATCGACTTGTGGGTTACGGCTTGATGTATTAATTTTATTTTTTTCAAAACCATTTAACACTTGCTTGATGTCATCGGCATTTAGCGAGACAATCTGCTCGGCTGTCTTGCTAAAAAATGGTTTTGATGTCATGAATCGAGCATGAAGGCAAGCCTTNGTACCTAATTCGTCTTTTACGAGTTGCGCCATGCAAAGCTTTCTCAGACCTATAGCAAGAAATTGCAAATAACAGCTTTCAGTGGTCTATCCATTCTCAAAACCAGAAAGTCTACAATAGGTGGTCCTGTTTTTTTGCGATATTTTACTTTTATTTTCAATCTATCATAGTTTCTAAAAACGATAGGATATACATTTTATTTGTATAAGATGCGCCATGTAAGGAACTACAAAATAAGTCAAAACAAACTGATCGAAATTTATACATCTATGTTTTTTTAAACACAAGATGGACAATTGACCTATATCGTCTCATTTATTATGAGTTTGTTAGTTTTCTATTTCTATCGACTCGAACGAATAATAATAAATCATTTTTTTCTGAAGGATACGCCATCACAAGCTCCACACTAATTGTGTGTACAAACTCAGAAAAAGAACCAAAAGTGGCTGCAATATATTTATATTCATCCGATTATTATGGGACATCGGAGTTTCGCATAGGCACTTAATAATTTCCACGAGAAAATTGTTCGAATCAGAGAATAAAGGTTCTCTTATGAGTTTTTTGTACAACTCTCCTTGTTCTATCATTTAAAAGAAAAATCCGAATTTGATCATTTTCTCAACTCAGGATACCAGCCAATTAACATATGTCGCAAAACTATTGGTACGCCCGGTACATGCGTTTTAATATTGAACAATTCGCGAAAATAAACAAATAATAAAATGAAATAAACAGAGAGCACTACAATAACTAATTTTCAAGTAAATCTACTTTCGTACAACTATATTTCATTCGGTATTTTTAAAAAGAAACAAACATATATCACAAATGATCTAAATCTTCGCTAATGATGTCTTCGAGATAGTCTCTAAGATTATTACGGAATTGTTCATCTTTTATTTTTTCCCGAAGTTGAGCAGGCGAATATTTATGATCAAGCCAAATGAGCATGTGCAAATGTAATGAGTCACATCCTTGATTTTCTACTGTACCAAAATATCCCTTGACAGGTCCTAAAACTCCTTCACCTGAAATCATAGCTTCGAGAATGCTTGTAATGAGGTGATGAAAAACTTTAGCTGTTGCTACAGGATGTGATGTAATGATTTCAACCCTTTGGTGGGTTGATGGGAGATTATTTGGAATGATCGCATCTAAATCAAGATTAACTCCTGCAAAGTAGAGAGCTACACGACTGTTAATATCCGCAGGATTGATGGTAAGAAAGACACTTGGCAAGCCTTGGTTAAAAAGTATACCATGAATTTGATTGCGCAGCATAGATCGAGATTGTGCTGAGCCCATTACTTTTCCTCCGACTGCTTTCACTTGACTCAAAAGTGCATTGACTTGCGGGTTACGACTTGATGTATTGATTTTATTTTTTTCGACACCATTTAACACTTGCTTGATGTCATCGACATTTAGCGAGACAATCTGCTCGACTGTCTTGCTAAAAAATGGTGTTGATGTCATTAATCTAGCATGAAGGCAAGCTTCTCGTCGTTGTAACATATTGAAGACAATAAATATAAAAGAGTGATGTTCTTCAAAACGGCGATCATTATACGAAAGTAGGTATTGAATTTGCTTGTTGGATGAGATTTTGACTGGCCGAGACGTATCTTCGAAAGCTCCTGTTCCATAAGGAAAAAGTGTTGGGTATAGACCAAGCAATAAGGTTGGATTGTTATATTCATTGATGGGTGCACTTCCTCTTGGAATCATATGAACAAGTTCATCATTCTAAGTATAGAAAAATATTTAAAAAATGAAAATAGAAAGATCACACATACAGTATTATCCTGAAGTGAGTTGACAGATTGCTTGTTTGCATCGATTTGAAGTTTACGAAGCATCTGCTCATTAATATCCTCTGCGGATACAGATGCACCGTTAACATCCAAAACACCACTTGGGTTTATAGGTATGAAATCGGATGTGGATTTCTCAGACATAGCCTGATCACTAATCAAAGGATCTTCGGTGTATCCTTCTCTTTCGCTATGAACATTTTTATCATATAATATATAGTCGAGTGTTTCCGAAATAGATTCAGGGACATCGTCATCTGGAAGAGTTGCAATGATATGTTTGTCAACAGATATATGACCGTACAATTTATTATTATTTTTTAGCCAGACAAGAGTATCAAGAACTCTTTGTCTTCTAACAGTCAGAACTTTGCGAAGATGATGCCAAGATGGTCTAGAAGATCCGATAAATATGATTTTGGTCGATGCAGAAAGTTCATTTGGCGATAAAGGAAGACTAACAGCAATGCTTGAGAGATTCTGAGGAAAAGTAATGCAGTTTCCTTTGAGGGCCGGCTGAGCTGTATTGGCTGAGTGCCATGGAGAATGTAGTTTAATGATACAACTGTTGTGTCGATAAAGAGAAATCAACTTCTGCTCAGGAATCGTGAGTCCTTTCAATTGATCGGGTACATCGCCTATCCACATGCCATTAGCAGGCGAAAATTTTGAAAATTTTCCCTTTAAGATAGCTAACCAACATTGATGACACATCCGACAATCGACATTCGATTGACTTCTGTGTGTCAATAAACCTTCACGGTATAATAGTCGGTTATTTGAAATAATGTAACTAGAACTGTTTGCATTTGGTATTGCTTGATCTGCTGAAGAAAAACAATCTTTAAGAAAAATTATATCCGTCTAGAACCCACCTGTATTGTCTGCAAAGTTTTTTTGTCGATTGAAATCTGTGCGTTGAGAATGTGCTGATGAAGCAGCAAAAATATCCTGAAGACTACTATGAGGCACGAGAAGACTATTATTAATATCAGACAACAACATATTATGTATCGTTTTTTCATTATATCTAGCATTGCACGTGACATACACTTGCTCCTGAAGACTGTCCATTGACATCCTTTTGTAAAAATTACTGAGACATTGCTCTTTAACTTTTTGAGGTATAGCAGCTGGGCAAATTTTTGTAGGTGGATTATTTCTTACCTCCATCACACGTTTTGCACGACCTCGATTAATACTCCTAATGCGCGCCGTTCTCTCTTCAGTCGTTTCATTGTCTCTGCGGATGCTATCGATCACCTGCTGTTGATCCAGTCGAGCTCGATGTTGTTCAGGTGTCTCGTTATTTCTTCGTGTCTCATCAATTATTTGCTGTTTATTTAAGCGATCCAATGATGCATTAGTACTCTCCAGACTCCGCTTTCTACGAGCATTGAGGCGCATTTTTTCAATCCGTTTCTCTCTTTCCTCTTCAGTTTCAATGGCTCACTGAAGTCTTTTTCTCTCTGTGTCTTTTTCTTTTCTTGTAGCGGTGGAGGAAGACCTTGTACTCGTTGGAATTTCTCTTCGATTCGATGGCGGCGTAAATTCGGGCATTCGTACGGACGTTTCTTCATTATTCTTTGTAATAAGTTTTTCAGGACCCTGCATTTTTATCAATAGATTATTCAAAATTTTGCGAAAGATATTTACCTTTTGTTCCTTAGTAAGGTTGGCGACAAGCAAAACTGGAGCAAATTTTTTTTTGTTGAATTTTTTATGTGATATGATGCAGTTTGATGCGCTGAATCCGAATATGTATAATTTAGTGACATATGAAGTCGTCTTCGAGNGTAGAGAGCTACACGACTGTTAATATCCGCCGGATTGATGGTAAGAAAGATGCTTGGCAAGCCTTGGTTAAAAATTATACCATGAATTTGATTGCGCAGCATAGATCGAGATTGCGCTGAGCCCATTACTTTTCCTCCGACTGCTTTAACTTGACTTAAAAGTGCATTGACTTGTGGATTACGACTTGATCTATTAATTTCATTTTTTTCAAAACCATTTAGCACTTGCTTGATATCGTCGGCATTCAGCGAGACAATTTGTTCAGCTGTCTTGCTAAAATATGGTTTTGACGTCATTAATCGAGCATGAAGACAGGCTTCTCGTCGTTGTAACATATTGAAGACAATAAATATAAAAGAGTGATGTTCTTCAAAACGGCGATCATTATACGAAAGTAGGTACTGAATTTGTTTCTTGAATGAGATTTTGACCAGTCGAGAAGCATCTTCAAACGCTCCTGTTCCATAAGGAAAGAGTGTTGGGTACAGACCAAGCAATAAGGTTGGATTGTTATATTCATTGGTAGGTGCTTTTCCTCTTGGAATCATATGAACAAGTTCATCATTCTAAGTATAGAAATATATAAAAAAATGAAAATAGAAAGATCACACATACAGTATTATTATGAGACGAGTTGACAGGTTGCTTGTTTGCATCGATTTGAAGTTTTCGAAGCATTTGCTCATTAATATCCTCTACTGATACAGATGCACCGTTAACATCCAGAACACCGCTTGGATTTATAGGAATAAAGTCAGTTGTAGTTTGCTCTGACACAGCTTGCTCACTAGTGAGAGGATCTTCGGTATATCCCTCTCTTTCAGCAAGAGCATTCTTATCATCTAATATATAATCGAGTGTTTCCCAAATGGATTCTGGAACGTCGTCATCTGGAAGACTAGCAATAATATGCTTGTCGAGAGATATATGACTATACAATATATTATTCTCTTTGAGCCAAATAAGGGCATCGAGAACCCGTTTTCGTCTAACGGACAGAATTTTACGAAGGTGATGACGAGCTGGCTTAGAAGATCCGATGAAAATAATTTTGATTGATGCAGAAAGTTCATTTGGAGATAAAGGAAGACTGGTGGCAATGTTCGAAAGATTTTGGGGAAAAGTGATACAGTTTCCTTTGAGAGCCGGCTGAGCTGTATTGGCTGAGTGCCATGGGGAATGTAGTTTGATGATGCAACTGTTGTGACGATACAGAGATATCAACTTTTGTTCAGGAATAGTGAGCCCTTTCAATTGATTGGGTACATCACCGATCCACATACCATTAGCAGGTGAAAACTTTGAAATTTTTCCCTTTGATATAGCCAGCCAACATTCATGACACATTCGACAGTCAGCATCAGAGTGACCTCCCTGTTGTAGCAAACCATCGCGGTATAAAAGTCGACCATCTGATATGAGATACGAGGAATTGCTTAGGTTCGATTTTTCGTGAAAGTCTGGAAAAGAGAGGTCTATAGAGGAATGTAGAGAATGTTGTGACTCACCTGGATTTTCGACAAATGTCTCTTCTTCGTCAAATTCCGTATGTTGTGAGTATACCGATCGAATTTCAGGAATTATTTCATGAAGATTCCGATTAGGCTTAAGAAGTGCAGCATTAATATCAGATAGCAGTAGATTATGCATTTTCTTTTCATTGTGTCGTGAATTGCACACAACGCATACTTGTTCGCGTAGACTATCCATCGACATTCTCTTGTTGAACTCTCTGAGACAGTTTTCTTTAACTTTCTGAGATATAGCCGCTGGCCATATTTTCACAGGTGGATTATTTCTTGCCTCCATCACACGTTTTGTACGACGCCGACTAATACTTCTAATGCGCCCGGCCCTCTCTTCAGCTGTTTCGTATCTTCGTCGTGTCGTATCAATTGCTTGTTGTTGATCGAGTCGAGCTCGATGTTCTTCAGCTGTTTCATTACTTCGTCGTGTCGTATCGATTGCTTGTTGTTGATCGAGTCGAGCTTGATGTTCTTCAGCAGTTTCAGTATTTCTTCGTGTCGTATCAATTGCTTGTTGTTGATCGAGTCGAGCTCGATGTTCTTCAGGTGTTTCATTACTTCTACGCGTCTTGTCAATTATTTGCTGTTTATTTAAGCGTTCTAATGATGCATTACTACTCTCCAAACTACGCTTTCTACGGGTGTTAAGACGCATTTTTTCGTTTCGTATGCCTCTTTCCTCTGAAGTTTCATTGGCTCGCCGACGTCTTTTTCTCTCTGCATCCTTTTCTTTTCTTATATCGGCGGAGGAAGACCTTCTACTCGTTGGAATTTCTTTCCGATTTGATGGTGGTGTGAATTGCGGCATTCGTATCGACGTTTCTTCGTTATTCTTCGTAGTAACCTTTTCAGGAGTCTAAATTTGCTTCAATAGATTATTTAAGATTTTGTAAAAGATATTTACGTTTTGTTTCTTAGTAGTCATAGCTGTAGTTTCAGTCTATTCAATTTTTACAAATAGAAATTAAATATTAAAATCTGAAATTTCAATAATTAGAATTGTAGACATTGACGCTTGCTTACAATATATATATTCATGCTTAGTTGCACAACAAAATAATTTGCTTAGCTCATTTATGCTCTAATTCGTCAAGCTAGGAAACATGATGGATCATCTTGAAAGTAGTGCAAGATTCACTGTGTAGTATTTATATATATATATATAGAAAAAAATCCCTTAAAAGGGTCAGTTTCCACAATGCATCAGTTGCACCTACGTTTACTAAAAATATATATATTTGAATAGTTGAGTATCGACTAACGTCTTGTATAACGTTTAATATATTGAACGACGAGTTGCGAGCGTTAACACAGCAGCGGCGCGGCTACATATATAGTAGAGAATAATGACGATCGGCGAAAGTAGAGGTGAAGGGACGTGGTTGAGAATATATAGTAGAGAATAATGACGAGCCCAAATAATATGAAGATCGATGTTGTATGATTGTACCGTAGAGAAGAACGTTGGCGGAGTAAATTCGGCGGGTGACTTACCGTATAAATCTGTCGGTTGCTTGTAGGCTTATAATAAGCGATTTATCTGCAGAATACATAGAGCACGACATCTACTCTGTCTTTACACATTTTACTATACGGCTTTGTTAGGCATGGGCCAATAGGACTCTGTTAGCGCTAGTATCTATAGAAAAGGAGTTGATTGTGGCGCCACCGGGTTCCAGTTTTCCCAGTCTAGTCTTTACACATTCTATTATGTCTTTACACATTCCTCTCCATGGTCGGAGGTAATCTGGTCGGTATTGGTCTTGATCACACAATATATGAACAGCTGCTACTTTACTTCAAACTACGTTTATGAAAGTTAGTTACTAATTATTACAACACCAGATATTGAACACAACATTTTATTTATCATACTTATACGCTTGCCTATACCCAGTATCAGATGGTTCTATATTTTTTCCGAAAACCGGTACCTCTGTTTCAGGAAACTATTTTTTTTATTCTCAAAACATACCACGAAACTCGAGTTGCTTGACTCCACAAACGCTTCGCTGAATTTTAGTAAAGAAATTTTTTTTGTAAAAACATCATTTCTTTGTTTGAGAAAAATTGATCCTTACGAAAATTTTAAAAAACTAAAATTAGATTCGACTTCCTCGACCTAAAAAAAGTCTTTGATGATTTTTTGTAAAAAACAATTTTTTTCATAAAAAAATGGTCCTTTGTCTGAAAAAAAAAAGTTTTTTCTAAGATTTTAAAAAACTAACATCAGATTCGTTTTCCTCGACCCCAAAAACCTTTTGGTCAAATTTTATGAGAAAAANAAAAATATTCATCGTCGTGCAATATATTAGTTCTCTAAACAATTACTTTGACTGGCATTTAGAATATATGATGATAATCGTTTTTGCTTGTTATTCTATGCATTGCACTTCATATAGCAAAGCAGTTATGATTATAAGAGTCCACGAAGTCATATTCAAGGTCGTCATCTATTTATTTGTTATTGCTGACAGATTTTTTAATATTTTGTATCTTTAGAAGTCCTATTGTGTTTTGAGACTATTTAAGTGGTCGCAGTTTTGAGTTCTCTCTTATTAATATATTTTGTCGTTTCGATCTTTGTTTTGTTTTACTGGTTCATTTAGAACAAAGTATCAAATGAAATGATACATATGCAAATGCACTACATATTTATACGAAAAACATTCATACTGGAATATATGCAGCGAGTTAGTCGTATTTTATCGTTAACTGTTTTAGAATAGAAGTTGTTGTCAAAGTTAATTTCTTTTTTACCCAAAGGGAGAGTTGCTAATAGACAACATAGCTCTCTTACGTTTATTTTTGTTATTTGGATAATCAGATGTCAATACAATCTTTCCATGGGCGACCGTACATACTTGAGATAAACAGTAGCTGATGTCATGCAATCGAGATTGGTAAAACCTAAAATTGAATAACATTGTGGTACATTAGAGAATACAAAATTGAACTAACAAACGATTTAACAGAATGATATGCTTAAAGTATCATTGTTTAATGAGGAATGAAATTCCTCAGATGAATGAATAAATGATGGATTATGCAAATATACACTTTTTGGAAACTAACATTTAAAGAGAAAAGAGATGTATATTCATTTTATGCCATGTATAATTATAAATTAAATAAAGTCGATCTTTTACTTCAGCCAATTCCAATTGTTTTTCCATATGTCAAACTCTCTATTGAGTGCAATAATCATATCGCGTTAGATCCATTCATCTCTTACATATAATTTGAGTTAGTCTTGGATAATTGAAACAAGAATTGTTGTTAATGTAAATGAAGGAAAATTCTTGTTTAGACGAAAAGCACATTCATTTGACAAATTTCTGCTTTAACTTACTTCTTATTCATATCTAATCGAAATACTTATAATTCTATTGTGAATTATTCAAATTATTTTGTGTGTAATAAGTATATCACTAAGAGTTTATTTTTCCTTTGCTTTACTGCTTTTTCAAATTATGAAAGAAGAAAATTGATTTATTCTATATGAAAAAGGTAATGTATCATCAGTTGGACATACAAATAAAACTACTTCGTTTGCAAATACAAGTAAACCTACTGATGGACTAATTGGTTTTCGAACCAGAAATAAAACAAATCAATTTCAATCAATAATTATCACATTATAAACTGGTCGCCTTATGTCCCATTTAATATAGACAGATGAAGAAACAAAAATGAGAAAATAAATCGTTGTTTTCTTTTCTCCTTAAAAAGGTGTATATATCAGAGAAAAAATATTCTGTTCTTTGTTTTATTTATTAAACTTGATACTTACATTTTCGATAGCTATGGATTTATTTATGTGGCATGAAAAATATGCGAAGTTGTTTTTTTTCTAAGATCAGATTCTGAATAAGAGTCATTTATCGTCACTAAATATACTGAGAACTTCGATAACGAGGATTGTTGAAGTCTTGATATTTCATGTTAATTATTCGGAATCCAGCGACTGGATATACTTAATACAATACCGAATATTTCAATACGTGTTCGATCTTTGCTCGAGTGATCGAAAGTAGCGCTCCTTTGAGAGTGGCTGAGATTTCACTAAAGCCATGTAGATTACGAGAGCAAAATATGTATGAGTCTCTCCTGAACTCACGATGATGACGAATTGGTAACAGAATGTATTTGAATGATGGGTGAATCTACGAGAACCCATTCACTTCTTGGAAAGGTTTTTTTCGAATAAAAGAACAGTAAAATCAAAATGACAAATTTTCCGTTTCTCTGTGACGATATCTTTAGAAGTAAAGTTTTATTCACAAATATCGTGACTTGACTTCAAGTGAATAAGATTACGAGATGAATCATCGGATATTGCACAATATCGATTGTTTAGTAGTGCATTTTGTTTTCCAAAATTGTGAACATCCGTCAAAACATGAAAAAATGTGCTCGTGTGCCAAAAGCAGCATTGACTATATGATCACAATTATAAAATTTTATGATTTCTCAATATAACGTGGCTTACTCTCGGATTTGCTGTTATGTCCAAATGTCATAGATTCGAATCAAAGAAAATAATGACTCATCACTCAATTGAATTCAACGATGCTAAGTGTTCGAGTAATGATGACGGTAATGATAATACCAATGTGGATTTTAATAGGAAGACTTAAATTTGATTAGAAATTACAAATGCGAGTGAAAGGACATTTATCACTTAGTATTTTTACTCCTAGTACCAGTATTGATAAATTCCAACGAGACTATCATTGTGATGATATATTATTATAGTATACTCGTGAATCATTCTTTTATAAGATGTAAAACAAAGCTATACGTAGATAAAATATCGATTTACTATGTCGTCTTCAAATGAAATCGTCATTACGTGTGAGCAGTCATCCTATTTCCAAAAGTACCACATTCCTGCATTTCTTGCAATTGCACATAAATATATCTAATTTGGGTGAATTTCTTAAAGAGATTAGGAATTAGTTTATATAAGAAAAAACCGATTTGATTGAATAAATTAGATTCGGATAATTATATTGATTGGAATTTAGTTATAGAAGTGTTTCAATACGACTTGGTTGAAACTGTATTGATAAGAAAATAATCATTTTGAATTAGTAAATAAAGATTTGGTTTTTAATAATATATTTCATCTTTATGTACAATATTTATATCGAAATATTTTGTTAAATTATCGGTTGATTTTCATTTCATCTTGAAATTGAGTGAAATCGAAGAGTATTGAATATAAAAATATATCATCTCATATACATTTTGATATTAATTACAGAAATTTGACTAAGATCATACATAATTAACATAGATGGTCAATAAAAGAAAATATTCAAAAGATTTTATGTTTGTAAACACTCCTACTCAGATTTACTTCCTTTTATGATTCACATCGCTATTACTAATGATTATGATTACGTGGGCTTTTTACCTATATTTTAATTGAATTGAATATGGTAAGAAATCCATAATTTTCGGACTTCGAATCTTATTGTATGAGTAATTACATAATCATCCACATATATGTGCTGTAAAAAACATAAGATTGATTGGTAATTACTTATCAATCAAAATTTTGATGACGCACGAGTATCATATAGTATATAAGTAACAGCAAATCAAAGAATGATCACAGTGATTTAGAAGACACATCGATCAATATGACGAATCTTTCTATTTTCTCTATATGTATTAATATTATTCTTGTTGGAACTGTCTATTCAGCACCCACTTCAACAACTACGAATAGTAAGTAATTTAAATGTATAGAAAATTTACATTAAGTGTATTTATTCGTAGCTGCGTCCGATGTTGGTCGCTGGGTAGAAACAGCATCACTTGCAGTAGGTGGTACTGGACATACGTCAACTCTTCTTCCTGATGGACGCGTGATCACTTTAGGAGGTAATGCGGGTGGTAATATAGTAGAGTTTTACAATTCAACAACACGAACATGGAATCGAGGTCCATCAATGCTTAATGCTCGATCGTATCACAGTGCCACTCTTTTGCCAGATGGTCGATTGTTTGTTACAGGTGGTTATTATTACAATGCAGCTATCAAAACTGCTGAAATTTACAATCCTGTAAGTAATACTTGGACATCTGTAAGTAATATGAATTCCGGTCGATATGGACATCAAGCAGTCTATTTGCCATCCCCAATGAATAAAATTTTAATCATGGGTGGATATGGAGGAGATAGCAGTCAGACTACGTTTTTGCAATCATGTGAATTATATGATTTTGTTTCCAATAAGTGGACAACGACTACGCCAATGATTAATGCAAGAGTATATTTTTCAGCAGAATACTTATTATCAATGAATATGGTTGTAGCCATAGGTGGTGGTGGTGATAACTCAGCAGAAATGTTTGATGTATCAACATTAAAATGGACTCGAAGTTTAAACACAATACCACTAGGCTATAGATCAGATCATACAGTTACATTACTTCCCAATGGACAATTTTTAATTGCTGGCGGTGGTCAAGATACCATTGCAAATTATTTGTTTGATCCAACAACAAAATTATTTAGGTCTGCAGCAAATATTACACAAGGACGAATTACACCTACTGCAACTTTATTACCATCCGGATCAGTTCTTCTAAGCGGTGGAATGCTTGGTAACGGGGTAATGTATCGTTCGGCTGAAATTTATGATTTTCGCTTTAATACATGGCGTTCAGTAGCAGACATGAACATTGCTCGTTTTCGTCACACATCCGTTGTTTTTAGTAATTGTTCCTCGTCATTACCAACAACAGTTCTTGTTATAGCAGGACAGAAAGATTGGAGTGGTACGCCTTTCGCCAGTTGTGAACTTCTCACAATCAATGCGTGATCAATACGTCTTTTTTTCATTTATATTCAAGAATTTCTTTTATTCATAATAAATCCTGTGTTTTTCTTTAAATCTTTATATTTCTTCACAATCTTGAGTGTGCTGAAGCTCGATGTCTAAATAAGCCACCCTCACACGTTCGCACCATCAACATGTGATCATTGCGTGTGTCTGTAACGTCTGTGGGTGGGGAGGGACAGGTGGGTCCACGTTCTTGTCCTTAAACACTCTCTTTCAGATCGTGTTTCACAAGATCAATTAATTATTCGAATTCAATATTTCATACTAAAAAACAATGTTTCGCACTGAAATATCCAGAGTATTGTAATCATGACTATAGTTATCTGATGGCGTAATTTCATCTCAAAATAACATTATTTGATTTGTTGATTCATGTCAAGCTCAAGACTGAAATCTCACTAAAATAGTTATAACTCTAAAATATAGACTTAAAAAAACGAATTCTTTGGATATTTTTCTAATCTCATTTAAAGGTCGTAAACATTCAAATATGTTCTCTCGTCATCTTTTTTCTTTGTAATTTTGTTAACAATTCTTTGAATGATTAATATGAATTTTTTTCATTTAATTATTTTTAACTTAAATTATTCACAAATATTATCTTAACATCGATATCTATTCGATCAATTATATTTATAAATTATAAAAATATATGAACTAAGAAGAAAAATCATGTTACGGTTGAATAAATAAATCAAATGTTATTTTTAGATAAATACGGAGGAGTATAACTATCGATAGTAAATATATTAAAACGAACGAGGTAAAATATAATATTCGTTGAATAATAAAAAAAACATTGATTTCGATAGTTATTATGTGTAATAAAAATATAAAACGATTTATTTTGAAATATTCAAATAAGTATTTTGAAAAAATTAATTCAATTTTTCGTTCTTTGAAACTTTTCTTCTTTTGTCTTAGGAAATATTTGAAAAAATTCTTTCGATTTCTATTTTATTTGTGGATAATTGGATTAATTTCAATGATTATTATATCATTTATTTATCTTATGACGAGAAATGAAAAAGAGAAAATTGAAAATGAAGTTTCTGATAATCCAAGTAAGAAAAACTGATTTTCTTTGAAAATTTTCTTATAATTCTATGTTTTTTTTAGTTTCAAGTTCATTTTCTTTTTATTATAATTCATCATTATCAATAAATCAATCATTAACTATAACAAATTTAAATGAAATTACAAAACAATTTTCGAAATATTATGATTTATCAATAAATATTATTCGAATTTTCTCAATGAAATTTCTTCAATCAATTTTATTAAACAGAAGAAAAAGACAAATGTTTGCATTGATATTTGAAATAAAAACTTTCTTTTTATTTTATTTTATTGAATTTTAGTGAAGAAATAAATTTATTCCCTCGACTGTAAGGAGGGTCATGTCGAAAAAAAGTGGTCAAAAAACGGAAATTCGTTTATTTGTTTGTGTCTGGCGCAGGTCAAAGGTCAAATGGCTATTTTTTTGGAATTGTTCAAAACTTGATAAAACATGGTTTGGGAAGGTGGTTGAGGATGGATGTTGACAATGGAGGGTGGGTCGATGTTTAGCGTGAAAAAGACATTTTTTTCGAAATTGAGCAAAACGTTAGAGAATTAAGGGGGAAAGTGCAGGCATCCGAGCATCTAAAACTGATGATAGGTGCTGGCTAGGTGCGCAGGTGCTGAGTGGATGCTCAGATGCCTAGTAGATGCTGATTAGGTGCTCGTCACCTGACCTGCACTTTCCCCCTTGTAGAGAATATGGTTTGGGAGGGCTGCTGATGGTGGATGTTCGTTGGAGAAAGCATCGAGATTAACTGTGATAGCGAAGGCCGTCTGAGCGTTCGCAGAGAACACTCCACGCTTGGTATACATTTATGGGTGTTGCAGTGACTACAGGGAATCGATGTAGTCAATCAGTAGCGATGCAGGTTTTGAAAAGATTGAGATCAACCTGAATGGTGGATCAGAATGAAAGAAGGAAGGGTGAATGAGAAGATATAATCGATAGGCTGACGTGTGAAAGTGGCAATGAGGTCTATAAATGAACGGCTGGAATGGAGAATAAATATCAGGGTAAAAGAAAATTAATCAAACTCCTATTGCAGAAATCAGATTCAGTAACGTCTTTGCGTACAAAACTGCAACCGAAGGAACCGTGTTGTGCAATGGAAAACCGGAAATATAAGAAGCGCAAGTGTAGAAATTTTGAGCATGTTGCTTTTCCTACCCAGCACAATTTCTCCGCATGCCATACGTTCGCCATAAACATTTCGTATTTGTCATCGGATACCCATGCTAATGGCATATACTGAAAACGCCTATATACCTGCACCAGAACTGCTGCTCCAAACAAAATCTCAACTATCGCTCAAAGAGCTCTTTAAGATCCTTCCGTATCACACCCACAGATCTCCACAGTTCCAATCGCTCAACAGCCTAAACGAGTAATATCTGTCTATTCAAGAAAAACCCTGTCCTATACAACCACTGCCCACTATGCAGACCGTCATCTGACACAAATGCATGGAAAATAGCACAGGTCTTGAATAGCATGGAACCAAACGGTCACTCATCGCTTCTACCACACCACCTTAGACAAAGACTACTGCATCCAAAAAATACGCTCAACATAATTGGGAAAAACCAAAACCTTTTCGAGTCTCAAAGTGAATGCAATTCGACAATACACAAGCAGATTCATACATATGCACCATCAAATCTAAATCTTCATTCCTACACGCAGTAAAAACGCGAATCCTCCCAGTTCATCGCTACCCGATTTCATCAGCACAGCAAATCCCTATTCAACGTTGAAATAAAGCTTCTTTCACTTCACAAACCATGTAATAGCCAAAATCATGAGGCTCCATATCAAAACTATATTCCCCTTATATATAAAAATCTTCCACTTCAATCCTTCCAATAAAGAATAAAATTCGACTTTACCATCAAAGTCTTACCTCCACTGCACATATACCGATGTCGTCCAAATCTAACAACATACCCGTGAGCCTTTCTCTGCCTGACAACATAATTTCTGAGCATCACATCTCCTTTGTCACTACGAAACACAATTTCTATTTCAGAAAAAATTGCGAAACGATACCTCGGATGGTCACGAACTTCGGACCCGAAATCGAAATTTTCATTTTCTCTGCAGCCACACACGTTTGCATTGTATGTGCGAGCATGGAGGAGAACATTCCTTCGTGTGAGGATATCTGTGTATAGGTGAAAATGTTGAATACCATTTCGAATTAAGTGTTCGGTGTGATGGTATAATTTTGGATGGAGGATTTTAGGATATAGTAATAGATAGGATAAGAGAATATTTCATCGTTGATATTCACTACATTTTATGTATTTTTCATGTGGTTCGATCTGTAGAGACACTTTTGTGTGATTATTTGGTTTTGGAACGTGAGTTAGATGGAGGTGGATGATTAGTTGGAATGAATATACTTGTGAAGGTGAACATGCAACGTATAATAACAGTCGATCTGATCTTGACGGTATGGGATGGAAGCACATGATCTGTGCACGTATCATAGTTTGTTATCACGATTGTGTAAAAGATTATGCGGGCATATGTGCTTTCAGTTGGACGTGTTGAAACTAATTTCATTCATTTACTATTTCGGTTTGGTGAAGCTGGTTGCTCTTCTCTTTGTCGGAAGTCGCTCGGCATTCGTGTTGAATCGTCCTCTCTGAAATTAAAAAGTGTAATACTGCTTTGGATAAATTCCATTCATTGTAGTGTAAGTTTTCAAAGTTTAGAAATGATACGATTGACGAAATCAGTGCAGATGAATTCGAGGTTTAGATAGAATGTACCATTTTTTCTAATTGATTTCCTTTTCGTTTTGATTTAGTATGGGTCCATATGTTTCGAAAGTCTCAAACTATGATACGCAAATTATTACATACAATTGGTGTGATGCGGCTAAATTGCTTGAACAGATAACAGCTGTGATCAATGAAAAAGTTCGCAATGGAGTTCATAAACTTGTGAGCATACTTGCTGTTCACAATACAGTTATGCT